GTTTTTCTGGAACAAAGCTTTTTATTCATATTCATCTTTTGTGTCTGCAAAAGATGGATCTTATTATGCCGCTGTCAGAACTCACTGTTCCATAAGCAAGTTGGAGAAGAGAAAAATAAGTGGCTGAAAATAAGTCCTAAACGTCTTCTTGATTTTATGCTACTTTTATTTCATATGCATTTCAAAACCGTAAATAAAAAGAAGAAAACATAGAAAGATCCCTCTTTAGCATCAAGTGTGGGCGTTGAGTTTGTCAATGCGTTGTTCATTGCCAAGTCTGAAAAAAAAAACATTTCTTTAAATGCGAAAAATGTATTTAGACATTTCATCCACAGAGGAAAACTGAATCACATACATTCCTCATCCCAGTGTGCCTTTGCTAAAATGTTTTAAATTTCATCTTAAGTTCACCTAACATCATGCTTCATATGAACGCCATTAAAAAATGATTCAAGCATGTGGAAAGAGCAGATATCTGAAACTTCCCTACCGCCTGCTTCACCTCAGAATAGAGATGCATGTTCATATCGCTGACAGGAGGGCGAGCAGTAATGAAATTCACCTGCATTCACTAAAACTTGTCAAAAGTTGTATCTGGAATATTCCATGTGAGAATGCTGAATAAATATAACATCATGGAGCTGAAATATGTCAAGTCTATTTTCTTCTTACATTTGGACAGCACTGTTGACTCTCATGACGAGTCAGAGTGATGAGAGGAAAACTGGAGCATTTGAAAAACACAAAACAAAACAAAACAAAACAAAACTTCTGAAATATTACAACATTATTTTCAAGTCAATTTTGGAGGAACATCAGTATAACATCATGGAGCTGAAATATGTCAAGTCTATTTTCTTCTTACATTTGGACAGCACTGTTGACTCTCATGACGAGTCAGAGTGATGAGAGGAAAACTGGAGCATTTGAAAAACAAAACAAAACAAAACAAAACAAAACTTCTGAAATATTACAACATTATTTTCAAGTCAATTTTGGAGGAACATCAGCACTTTTTAACTGAAATAATTACAATTCTTTGAAACATTACAACTATTTGTAAACCAATTTTTGGGGAAACATCTGCGGTTTTTAGTTTAAATAAATACATACATACTTTACAAAATTACTTTTTAGCCAAATTTGTTCCCCGAAAAAAAAAAAGTATTATTTTAATATTAATTAAAATAGTTTATTTGTTAATTAAGATTGTTTATTTAAAATATATTTTCATGTTTTTCCTATCGATTGCGGGTGATATACGGACATTGTTTTTGAGATAAATCCATAAATCCACATAAAGCCACCAATTTGTGTTTATAAACTGTTTGTATTATCTGCAGTGACACACACAAAGATTTATCCCCTTTTATGGTATTAGGGCTTATGTTCATTTACTGAGCACTATGAGGAAGACAGCAGAAAATAAAAGCACATCATTTACCTTCTAATAAGACTGACAGGATCATCCAACAAAAACCCCCAGCGGGCCAGTTTCAGGGTTACAAGACTCTTCAACGTCAAATGAGAGTCTACTGTGTGAGCAGCTGACTGTATGTAATCCCTTACATGTTAACCCCAAAATGACACATTTGACCCACTTTACCAGTCGCTGAAGACGTGGTCAACAGCCAGCGGCTAATCGAGTCTATATCCAGCTGTGTGAGAAAGAGCAAGCATCTAGAGCTGTGGACAAAACGTTACCTGCGGAACAATAAAACCTCCATTTCCAATTATAATTTCCCTCGTGTGCCACGTCAAAAACCTGTGGTATAACACACACCTCTTAGCAATTTAAATGCAGACAACACGGCGCTCATGTCATGATTATGTACGAATATTAGCTGGAGTCCAGACACAGCTTTTCCGCTCTGTCCCCAGGCAAGAGCCACACGTTTAGACTTCCCGGGAAGTAGGTGTTCGTTTACTGAAAGTGACCTGCTGAAGTTTTCAAAGTGCACCAGGAGAGCAAGTGGGATTATGATTCACATGCGCTCATCTACAGCCGTCCTGTGTGCATTCAAACGCGCTTGCCATGTGCCTGCAGGCACAGCCAAACGGCAAATATGACATTTCTAGGTTCATTTTAGCTGACTTACTAAAATACTTCCATATCTGGATTGGTTTATGCATGAAGAGCATCCATGAGGAAACGCTACACATGCTGCATCTCGCTTTCAAGGTCAGAAGTTCAGAGTGCATGATCAGAATAAAACCAGATGCACAAAATAAAACTGACCGTTTCAGTTTCTTGCAAAAATTTACTATATGAAACACACAGTACTCATGTAAAGCGGCTGTACATGTACTGTAACCTATTTTCCACAAACTAATAAGCAGACACTTTCTATGAAATCTGTAACAGTAAATATTCATATCATACTATCATTCAAAAGTTTAAGATTCAATTTTTTGAAAGAAATTCATATTTTTATTCAGCAAGGATTCATTAAATTGATCAAAAGTGACAGTAAAGACATTTATAATGTTCTTAAAAAAATTATATTTCAAATAAACGCTGTTCTTTTGAACTTTCTATTCACCAAATAATTCTGAAAAATAATGGGGGCAAAAACAAAAAAGTGTTGCGTTTATAATTTTGTTCAGTGTAATAAAATAAAATCTATTTTTAAATATAGTTTTATATAAAGCAAATTATACTTTACATAAAATGACTGACTTGGTTTGATTTTTATCCTTTGAGAATTTTTATCCAAAAAAAATGGATGTTACAAAGCAAAACACAGACAGGAAATTGTAAGGAAAGGTTAAAAACAGGGCTGTGCGACATTTTCGGATGACGCAGCTGATACAGACGTCTCTTCAGAGCGAGGTCTCTTTAAATGGCACGTGTTCGTTACTGTACAAGGGCCTGTCTAACAACGACAGCATGCTTCTGCTCATCCTCCATCCGGCGGTGTGCGCACAGGATCACGGCTCGCAGTCAAATAAGCCGTCTCCATTCGAGCGGATGGCTGTCCTCCACAATCCTAATCCGCCAGGCGTTGGGCAGCATCGCTCTCCGCCTCTCACAAAGCCAAATACAGCATCCAAACTGTCATGCTCTTATTTGCTATTCCTATCTCTGCTGTCAACACAGAAGCCTCTTCCTCACCCGGCAGAAGCGTTCCCTCCCGCGCCGCCAGCAACCGATGATCCATCATTTGTCAGGACCGTGGCTTTGTGAAGTAAGTTTGCGATTCCTTAAGGCTTGCGGCATCTTTAAAAACATCCTCAGAGATGGGAATCTGCGGTGGTCTCCTGCTGATGGTAACCGAGGCGAGTTTTTATAAGAAAGAAGCTTCCCAAGTGCCATGTCTTGCTCTTGTTGATGGTTCAAAGGCGGAACTCTTGCCCTTCAGTTTGTGCCTTTGGCCGCTGAAAAAGCTTCAGGCTGGAGCGGCTTTACCTTGAGATAAATTCTGTGAGCGTGCGGCTGCAGATGATTTTCAACAGCAAGGAGACGCAGCTCTTAAAAGGGTCACGGCTCTCCAGACCTGCGAGGGACACTGCTATATCTGTGAATGACAGGCAAAAATTCACGGGTCTCAAAGTCAACGGCCCTGTTCTCTGATGTCTGGCTTCATCCAAAAAAAACAGAAAAAGCCCCTGAAATCAATTCAGTTAAACTGAATTTTTGAATTGAAGCAGCAAACCAAGGGCAAAATTGGTCATTATACATATAACAAAATACATTTCTGTTGAGGAAATCCCAGTTCATCGCTGTTTATTTTTACCTATACAAGCCAAATTGAGGAAAAAATCAAATGCTCCAAACGAACGAGGTGTGAAAATGGCCTAAAACAGCAACATACAAAGAAAAAAAGTCCGTTTATTTAGCTATATTAACTATACTTGATTTTATACTTATTTGCACAATATATATATATATATATATATATATATATATATATTTATTTAAACTCTTAAAGCCGGAATATATAAATGGAATATATATACATTATGTATGCCATGTATGTGTATATATACACATACACACAAGCATATATACTCCAAGTCACAATGGACAGATGTCAACATATTAATATCCTTAAATAATATCCCTAAATACCACCTAGACAAAGTTAAAACAATTTGAATGTTTGGTTTTTTGAGCAATTTGGTTTACTTCTGTGCAATAAAAACTAAGTTTGATGTGATGATGTCTATTGCAATATCTGGATCCTGAAGCAAAATCAGTTGAGAATCACTAGTCTAATTTACCAAGGCCTTCCAAATAGCTTTGACATCTAATCAGAGAATAAATGGGAATTATTAGTCAAATTAATCATGCAATTATGCTGCTGGACTAATGAAATTCCTCTGACTGTTGAATCTGCCCAAATGGAGCAGAATTATGCCAACTTATGAATTGTTTACAGCAGCATGGCAGACCAGTTGTAATTATCTGTAATATGAATATGAAGTGGCGCAATACAAAGCATGATGAGCAATTCAAAAGATCGCATAACGATGAGAAAATATTCCTTTGCAGGCTCTTCATTTTCTCGTCTGCTCTCGGTGAACGACTGCAGAGTTCAAGAGTCCTGCGTGTTTTGGCATGTTCTGACTGCCGTTTTGCATAATGCAGTTTCACTAAATCTAAATGAAAGAGCTCTTAGCTGACAAAATGAAACCTTCAGCGGAGCGGAGCTGTTGAAAGGGGTCACGCTACAGATAGCGGCTGAAATACTCAATAAGCTTTCAGGGCGTCTTGAGAGCCGTCCAGAAACACAAGACAGCCATGATTAGGGGAAGAAATTAAATGGGAGCAGCGTATGAAAGTGTGTTTGAAATGATGGTGGGAAAGGCACTTGCACGGTCACGGTCCCGCTGTAACTCTACATCTGCTGGAAACTCAAGTGACATTCAGCATTCACGACCCAAGCAACAGACTGTAGAAATACACAGTTCATCGCAGTTCATTTTTTGCCTACATGAACCAAACGGAGAAAACGAATCCGGGTCCAAATCAAATACTCCAAATGAACAAGGTGTGAAAATGGCTTAATATAAAGATGTATAATTATTACAATCACTTTACAAAATAATATATTTTGCTAGATGTTGCCGTTCATCACAATTTTAATCTCGGTCAGAAAAATTAGAAACCGTGTTAGAACAGATACCATCAGTGAAATAAATAACATAAATAAAACTAGATTTTTTTTTAATTTACATGATTATTTAGTTTTATTGATGATAATTAGTTGGTATACAGTATTTACTATAAATGCCGATGGTATAATGACCGTAACCATATCCTCACCATAAATAAATAAGTAAATAAATAAATACATATTTTCTCATATAGCGACTTGTTTAAAAAGATGCCACTCTATTAAATAGCTGTATGAATAAATGTAAATATGTTTTCTAGTTTTATTGATAATTAGTTGGTATACAGTATTTACTATAAATGCCGATGGTATAATGACCATAACCATATCCTCACCGTTTAAAAATAAATAAATAAATTAATTAATTAAATAAATAATATTTTCTCATATAAGCGACTTGTTTATAAAGAT